CTAAAGGCCACTGAAGTCAACTGAAAGTATCTTAATGCCTTCGAAAGCTTTCAGACCAAGTCTTGGAAGGACAAACTGGAAAATCAAGTTCTCCAATGTTTCTTTGTTTTCTCTTCTTTTTTTTCTTCCTTTTTCTTTCCTCTTTGGTTTTGTTTCTAAATGTCAGAGAGGATTCAAAGGGACGGATTCAGAACCACTGCTGACAGTGAGACTTGTAGCTTTTGAATGAGGCTACTGAAAGGTGATTATTAGATGTACACCTACAAGTGCTCTCTTCTTCCATTCAGTCACAGAGGATTAAGGGAAGGACTTTTAGTGTGTTAATCTGAAAAACAAATCAATATTGTTGTGTATCTTATGAACATGACAGGACTCACAGTATCTCAGCATTCTCTCTGTAAAATATATTACAGTAATCCAGTCCAAATGGACTTCATGGAAGGGTTTTTTGGGGTTTTTTTTGCAATTCTGGGCTCAAAACTCCAGAAAATAGAAGGCTTAGTTAGAATGTCAAGAGCTGACAGAGATTTATGGGGTATCACAGTATTACTGGGATTCATGGAGGTTCACCTGAATGCTCAGCAAATTTTCCAGATCCAATTAAGCTAAGGAACCATTTCCTAAGTAATAAAAATGATGAGTGTGCTAACAACTCTTTCACAGCTTGAACTATCATTTAAACTAAGGATGAGTGAGCCAGCTTGGCTATAAAGAAAAATAAATGGCCATGCTTGCCATTTATACTGTACTCACTTCATCCCATGCTGGAAGCATAGTTGAGCAATTTCTATTATTGTTCAACAATTGCATTGGAGCAATTGATACCTGAAAATGATTTAGGTTCACAGTGACAGAGTGATATGACTTATCCATAGTGTAAATGAGAACTAAAATACTCTGAAATAAACACAGATCTGAAGAGGTGCAAGAATTTGTTTAATGATCAGTGTGGTTATGTGAAGTCTAATTTATTTCCCTGTGGTGTGTATGTGTATGCATATATGCACATGTAAATCTACTCATTATTACACAGTAACAACAATGGTCATTCGAGGGGAAATTTTCATTATAGTAGAGGAGGAGGCAGTTTTTTTGGTTAAAATTATTGCAGCCCAGACTTTCCAGAAGTTATGAGGGGAGGAATGGCCCACAAGCACAAGGTTGTTGCAAGATAAGGGTAGCCACACTGTTGATCCAGTTTTTTGGAGTGAACTGGAAAGTACTGTATAAGTAGAAAGACCAGAGTAAAGCAAGAGAAGGTTGGAAGATGGGGTGAGCAGCCAGCAAAGAAGAGAGAGGAGAAGTAAAAGGGACATTGCCTTCTACCTCCATATGATGCTGGGAAAGACAGGTTCCAGAGAGGAAAACAGAATAAAAGGTAAAGGGAAACCCTTTTATTATGTTTAGAAATAACTCTGATGCTTCTAAAACACATGCACTTCCTCTACCACGAGAGGAAGGCAGGTCATACACTCTATGACAAACTCACTGAGTTTCTCAGGGACTATTTCAGAGCAGAAGACCAAATATAAGGAAGGGGAAAAAAAAGCTGTCCTTGTGTATTTCAGGAAATCCTTGAAAGAAAAGGTGGGGAGACCTAGAAAAAAGCTCTACCTCTTTACTTCAAGGCAACAAACAACCATGACTCCTGAAAAGATGCCTCTCATTGTGTGACAGAAATCTTGACAGCAAAAAGGAGTTTTCTACACAAGTTCTGGGAGGGAAGTTAAATGACAGAAGAGACTGGTTTTGTAAAGTCTGCCACTCTTGATTCTCAGTGCTGGCAATTATGACAAAGATGCACAGAAACAAAATGATGTTCCTGCAGCAAACTCAACTGTGAACTGTCAGCTGTGTACCAGTAATGAGAAAGATGTGTTTTAACACTGGAATGTCTGTGTGTGATGTGGGGAAAAGTGAAAATCCAATACTTTTAGTGTTGTTTCCCACTGTGGTATACTTCAGTGACAGTGTCAGGGAGTCACTGCACAGGGGAAGTCATCTTGGTTTCACCTGTGCATTAAAGTCTAGGAATGTATTTTCACTGGGGTATAGTCCAGATTAAATCTGGAAAATGCTGTGGTTGAAAACTAAAATAGTGTATCAAATTGAGATTTCCTAAAGGTTTCAGTCTTCCTTTGACTTATACAATATCCTGTCTTGAGTTATGACAGGTAACACTGGATGTTATGATGACAATGATGATAACTTGATCAAGAAAGTATCATTCACACAGACATTAAAACACTTGGGCTACAAAATGCTAAATAAACTAAACAAAACTAAACTAACAGAGGTTGTGGAAATCCTATCCCTGGAAGTGGATTCCCACTGCCAGGCTGGATGGAGCTTTGAGCAAGCTGATCTAGTGGAAGGTGTCCCTGCCCACAACAGAGGGGAACTAGATAATCTTTAGGGTCCCTTCCAACCCCCAAACATCCTAGAATTCTATCATGCTATGAAATAAAACATAATAAATGAAAATAAATAAAATAAAATAAAGCAAAATTAAATAAATAAAAAATTTAAAATAAAATTAAAACAAGCAAACAAACAAGACAGAAATCTGAAGATAGAAGAACCAAACAAAATGGGAAGCAAATAGTCCAATTTCCCAAGCAAGCACTGTTTTTATTAGGTATCACAAGCCACAGGCTGCTGTAAACAGCAGCCCCTTCCTTATAAGAACCATGATCTAAAAGGCCACAGGTTCAGAATGTTTCCCTTGCAGAAACCACTAACAGGATCAGGGCCCAGTCTCATAACCTTTAGAAAAAGATCTGGTTTTATGGAGACACTGCAAATGCGACAAAAGAAAGGATCTCTTGATGCCACTTTTAAGAGTAAATGACACTATTATACTTCAAGATAGACACGAGGCCCCAAGTCAACTTTATTTCAGAGATGAATTACTGAGAAGAGTGCTACAAACCTGTCTTACTCTAAACAGAAATTAAGGTGACAGGGTGCTCGCGGGACCGAGGCAAGTTGAAAGGAACTGTGTTGCAACATAAAGTTAAAGCTGACTCTTTTAATTTCACATTTTTGCGTTACAAAGAAAAAGAAGAAGAAGAAAAAAAAAACAACAAAACCCCTGAAATGTTGAACTGAGTATGTTTAAACAAGTGTATGTGTGAAAAACCCTCTCCAAACCAGACTAGTGTAAAGATGTGATACACTCGAAAAAGAGATTCAATCATTAGTCCATGCTCTGAGCAGCATGTCAACATCTCAGGAGAAAAAGATGTAAGGCCCCAAATTCACATATTCAGGAGAGAAGCTTTTGAAAAGCAGCCATTTGAAACTGCCAACAAACTGAAGACAAAATGAGATTTGATAGAGGTGACAGAGCCTACAGCATCAGATTAGCTCTTTGTTTGTCACAGCGAGCAAAAGAAGCGGCGTTCAGTCTGACAGACTCGCTCGTGACCTTTATTCTGCCAAGCCAAATGAGAGGGAGGACAGTGAATGCCATTTTGCATCCTGAAACTGTTGTTCAGGAAGCTTGTAAACAGTGATTTGAATAGAAAATGAAAAATCTGAGCACTGAGACTTCATACTGAGCTGTCACTTCTCCGCTTCACCATTTGCCGTGTGTTGTGTTTAGACAGAGGTTCAGTTGTCAGCTCTCAGAGAAACGTTCAGATAACAAAATCCCACCATGTCCAGATGATTCTTCAGTGGGATGCTATAGCTGAATAAAACTAAGCATAACAATCCTCAGTTCTCTTCACTACTCACTCTTTCCCTCCTACTCTCTCAAACTCCAGTGGAAAGTGGGTTGTTGAAAATTACACCAGTCAGTCCATGCAGGGCTGTCATGGGAAGAGGTGAGAGGGAATACTGGGAAGATGGAAAAGCCCTGTTTCAAGATAGATATCAAGATGTGGATGCCCAGCCCCTCTAAATGTTCAAGGCCAGGCTGGATCAGGCTCTGAACTACCTGGTCTAGTAGAAGGTGTCCCTTCCCCTGGCAGAGAGGTTGGAAATGGATGGTCTTGAAAGTCCCTTCCAACCCAAACATCCTGTGATTCTGTGATCCCCTGTTATTTGCACCAGCCATAGTGACTGATGCTGATCCACACAGTAATTCCCATGACAAAATCACACTGATGTGGAAACATCACTCTCCTTAGCTTCTCCCCAAGTCATAGCAACGAGAGGAAATGTAACAGAAAGGTTAAGGGACCAAAAATTATGACTAAAAGAAGAAGAAATTCCAAGATGCAGAACATTCTTCCCGGTTCATTCATATTTTTAGACCTCAAAATACTTATTGTATACTTCCCATGTTCTCTTATTCAGATTTTTTTATCTATAACATTTATCACCTGAATAATTTCTTTTCCTGTTTGTGTCTTCCTCTGAGTGAGGATAGACCAAGCCAGGTTCAAGCAAAACTTTGCCCTTGGAGTAGCCTCTGAAGTGTTCCTCTGTCTGTTACACAGAGACATATGTTTTTCCATTTGATTCCAAATGATTTAGACAAATCTCAAGATTCTCACATCTTCACCAAAAACTTACAGGCCCAATATGCTTTGCCTTAGATGTTTCTTTTCTTTGTACTGTTAAGAAAAGAAAACTGAAGCTTTTTGATATCAATCAGATGCAAATTCTGTCAACTCTCTGAAAATATTTTGAGCATATTTATTTATATGTAGACACTACTAAGATTTTCAAATGTTTTATGGCCAGTCTGTCTTTGTTCTTATTTAAGATATGAAAACCATATTATTTAAACTTCCTCCAGTGGATATATTTATTTTCCCTGCATTTTTGTGGCTGATGTGAGTATGGAAGAAGTGTAGTTGCATTTGTCTGCACTGTAGTAAACTATTCACTGCAGATCTAACTGAGCTAATGGTGCCTGTGAGGATGGAGAGTGATAATACTGTGTCCAGTTCTGGGGTCCTCACTTCAAGAAAAACATGGAGGTCCTGGAGCATGTCCAGGCACGGGAAACAAAGCTGGAGAAGGGTCCAGAGAATAAGTCATATGAGGAGCAGCTGAGGGAGCTGAGGGGGCTCAGCCTGAAGAAAACGAGGTCAGGGAGGACCTTCTCACACTCTGCAACATCCTGACAAGGAGGGGGCTCCTGACAAGCCAGGGGGCTCAGCCTCTGCTCCCAAGGATCAAGGGACAGGATGAGAGGAAATGTCTTCAAGCTGCACCAGGGGAGGTTCAGGTTGGACATCAGGAAGAATTTCTTCACTGAAAGGTTGGTCAGGCATTGGAAGGGGCTGCCCAGGGAGGTGGTGGAGCCTCCATCCCTGGAGGTGTTCAAGAAATGACTGGACATGGCAGTTAGTGCTGTAGTTTAGTTGATATGGTAGTGTTTGGTCAAAGGTTGGACTCAGTGATCTTACAGGTCTTTTCCAACCTTAAAAATTCTATGATTTTATGAATACTAAATGAATACTATAATTCTGATAGTGGAAGAGAAAGCACAGTCTGAAAAATCTACCCAGAATTAATATTTGGGTGGTTACCCTGTACAACACTGCTTTGATGCAATGGTACTGCCAGAAATAAGGAAAATGCCTTGGGAATATGAACTTTTTTTTTGATGACACCATGATGCACATCTTTGGCAAACCCTGCCTTAGCTCCCTAAAGTTGATACTTGATTAAAAAATGTCATAGAATGAAATCCTGGACCTGAATATCCTTTAATTTCTATTGTTTTGGCCAAATGACAACCACATAATAGGTCCCTGTCTCAAAATCTGTCACCTGCCTAGGTTCAGACCAATAACCTGGGGACAAAAGGCTTTATCCTCTTAATAATGTCTTGATTCATTATTTGACAGAAGAGAAGTTTTGAGATGCTGCCTGGTTGAATATGCATCAGAAAGGCCAGTAATGTTACTGAGACACTCTTTGGATGCCATCAGTCTGTGTGCATCCTTGCTGCCCTGGCTCCCTGCCCATGCAGAGACAAAGAGAAACTTTGTAGGGTATTCAACTCCCTCTCATTTCCCAGAATTTGCAGCTGGGATCCACTTCATCAAACAATGCACATTTATTGACAGGTAGTTTGACAGCTTTCTGAAGCTGCTTGGCAGCTTGTTTTTAGCAACACGTTGTCATGTTTGGTGTTATCACATTTCTCTTAGATTTGTGTGATACTAAAAGGCCAAACCTCCAAGGCATCAATATGGGGTGCAAAGCAGGACTAGCTCTAAGACACCCAGGAAAATGCACCTTAGGGGTCTATTGATTCTTCTTCTAAAAATGCATAGCTACTCACTTTCCAATCTTGTCAAGGACAAGCATCTTAACAATTGTTTCCCAAGCAGCTGCTTCAAGTTGATTGTTTTTTGTTTGTTTGTTTCTTTTGCCTTAAGCTCGCAGGTGTCTAAGGCAACTAAGCTGAACAGCGTTCACAAAACTCTTCAAACATCTGTGAAATGCAATTCAAATCACTTTCCAGGAAACTTAAGAAAGAATAAGGCACCTTTCTTGGGGATGTGATGTGTTAGTCAAACTCTCGACTGCTCAGGAATACAATTGATCACAGTCAGTGGGGAGTCATTGCAGAGCTCAAGTTCAGCACCTGCAGTAGGTTTTACCCTCTACTGAAGTGAGGGATCCAGAGCATGTCAGTAATCCAAGTTTAGACACTTTAAGAGACAGCAAAATATTTTGGAATGCTTAAATGGGTGAGTCGAACTAATTTTATTTGATTCTTGCTGAGTTTATATTGGGGTCAAGAAATTAGCTAGATGATGAGAACTAATACCTAGAGTTCCTAAGTTCTTATTATTTCTTCTGTAAATTAAATTTGCTTGTTTTGGAGAGAGATTTTTATACCTTCACAGATTGCCTTTCCGGGAATAAAATGTAAAATAAAAATTCTATCATATATGAGCTCCAAAACAGATCCTGTAACATTAAATAAAACTGTCAGGATTGTGCAATGAAGAAATTCTTATGTTTGCTGTATTCTACATGGGCTTTCAGAAATTGTGCCCTCCAATAACCTCAGCTGTAAGCAGTCAAGACAGCAGCAAATAAATTTGGTCCAGTTCAAAAAGCAAACCCAAAAAGCTGCCTCTATTCCCAGCTTAAGTGCCTGTCCTTCAGAGTTATTTCAGCAGCAATAACTGCTCCCACTACATGTTGTGTCCAGAAGAGGAGAAACAACTGGAAGGTCCCAGCAGCAGCTGGCAAGTAACAGTGATTGAATTCCAGATGGATCTAAAAAACTAGTGATCCCTCCTGGGAAACTTTGAAAAACATCTTACTTTGCGATGATCCTGTTCACATCACACTCATTTTAAATATTTCTTTTCCTTTGTTCTTGGCACAGAAGGAACAGATGAGCTCCTGAGAAATAATTCCATTTTGAGAGACGAGCCCCTGCTAATAAAGGCATAGAGAAGAAATAGGGCAGGGGGAGTTGCTGCTCTGTTGTGATTTCAGACATCAGCTGTTCATTTGTGCTGTTCACTTGTGCAGTTGCTGTAGCTAAATATGTTTCTAAGGATTTTCTTTGAGCCATAAAATAAGATATGTTAGAAACAACCTTTGCAGCAACTCTCTTGGTCCTGTACCCCATCGGAGCAGGGCCAAATTAGATTGGGTAGAATCACAGAAGCACAGAATGGTTTGGGTAGGAAGGGACCTTAAAGCTCATCTCATTCCAACCCCCTGCCATGGGCAGGGGCACCTTTCACTATCCCAGGTTGCTCCAAGCTGCATCCAACCTGGCCTTGAACACTTCCAGGGATGGAGCAGCCATAGCTTCTCTGGACAACCTGTGCCAGTGTCTCACCAGGTCAGCTCAGGTCCTTGGCCAGTGAAGTTTGACTGTCTCCAAGGATGAAGATTTCATAACCCCTTTGAGCCCTTGTTCCACTATTTAACCACCTGCACGGCAGAAAAAAATTCCTTGCGCTTTCTCTTGTTGGAACTCAAGTTTGTTGGCTCTCACCCTGTCAGCTGTGCGTGTCTAGAAAGTCTAAATTATCTTTTCCATGCCCTTTGGAGGCAGTGAGAAGATCTGCCCTCAGCCGTCTCTCCTTATCATGGAACAAATCTTGTTGTCCTTGTACATCATGTCCTTGCACATCATGCCCTTTTTATCCCCTTAACAATCCTCATGGATCTCTCTTGCACTCACTCCAGTATATTGATGCCTGCCTTGTATGAGGAGCACTAAGCTGGACACTGTTCCCCTCTGAGTCCATATCTGAACTATTTCCAATTTTTTTTTCAACCAGTTCTTCTCCCTCGAGCTGATACAACCCCCAGCACATCCCTGAAAGAACAACCTCATGTCAACTAGCAAGGACCAGCTGTTCCATGAGGGAGGATGAGCCAGGATGTGGGAGTGACCTCAGCACAGACAGTGTCCCTGCTGACAGGGTGTAATTCTGAGCACATCAGGTAGAGCTCTGTGCTGGAAATGGGGTCTGTGAGCGATCACAATGAGTGGAGGAACTAGATTCATGGCTCCTCCAGAGAACCCAGTCAGGATCTAAATGGGATGAGATAAAACATAGATCTGAGGAGAAAGCTACAGTATAGGTCTAAAGTCCATCCAGGAGGCACAGTCAGAGGCAGGACTCTGCAAACCTACAGCTTAGGTTAAGCAGGGACTGAGCCACAGGCCTGAGTTTAAATGAGGTCCACGGGGAGAAAGGGCTGGAGGTCCCAGGTGAGGCTGGTCTGGGCTGTTAAAACCTATCACTGGCTTCATGGCCCTGCCATTGAGATCTTTCTGAAAAGAAGCCCTGCAACCAATGTATTGCCCATTTCTCCTTTTTTCTCTCCTATCCTCTAAAAAGCAAAGCTCCTCCCTGTCTGGAACTAACTTGGCCCTGTGGGTGTTAGCACAGCCTTTAATGCACCATGTCCTGCAAACTGGAACTCTACCATGACATGGAAGGGTGGGAGGGATAGTTCAAACCCCCATCCATGTGTGGTCTGAGGCTTCTCTTACACAGCCAAACTCATCTCCTGCTAAACAGATAAAATGCTCCTGACATGTTCAAAATGCTTTCCTGGAGAAAGATAACAACTCTGTGTCATGCCTCGGTTGCCTGAAGGGCTCAAGGAGTGTTTTTACCTGAGTACACCATTAACCTGATATATTTGGTTTCTTTCTCTCAGCCTTCCTCGGAGACATCAGTGGTGGTGGAGCTCAGTGCTCCAAGGTGGCACAGACAACTCGTGTTCTTTCACAGTCAGACCACTCACTGGATTCAGGAAAGAAAATTCCACTTAAGTCTGGCGGGCAATGCTCTGGATTTTGTGGATTTAGTAGGTTGCCTTTCACTGCTAGGGAGCAATTAGGGTGCAATTTATCTTCAAGTGTACGGTAGGAAAAGGACAACCAATTGATTTCCATGCTATGCAACCTTCGGTTTTGGTCACAACTTGGCTCTTCCTTTTCTCTGACAATGACACACACCTGACAAACCCTGAAATTTAAATTCTTTGACTCTCTCAAATCTGGGGTATGATATTGGGTAACACTGAGTGCCCAATGATAGACAGAAGGTCAAAATTTAGTTGGATCCCTTGTGGTTTTATAGTCTATGCAATGAAAGCCATTAACTCATTTTGCAATATTGAAAGATGATGGCCTCTGGCATATTAATCCTTCAAATAACTCTGACTTATAGCCCCTTTGGCTATAAAGCCTTACACTTTTCCTCCAATACCATAGAATTGGAAAATGCACTTAGCCTGAAAGTTTCTCGATTAACTATGAAGGAGAAAAAGACTCTACCTGTAGGACTGTTCATGCTGTAATATCACAGCACTGGAAATTCTCCTGCCAAGCTTGAATAAAATTTATAGAAGTGCTATTTTTTAATTAATTTTATTTGACAAAGCTCAGGAGATACAATTATGGAATGTCTGAGAGCTTATCAATGCCAAGCCAGTCAGCTAATTAAAATCCATTTTGGGAGGGCCATCTAATTTTAAAAACAGCTTGTTAATGGCCATCCAGAGTTCCAGTGCTGTTTATATCTCATAAATTAATTTGCTAGCCCCAGAAATGGATAGAGAAGACAACACATTTAATAATAAGACAGTTAAACTTGTGTGAGATGTCATGAC